GGGACAAGTGAGGATGTTGCTGGGAGCGGACAGGAGGACCGGAAGACTCGGGGGAGGGGCGGCTCCTTTGTTCATGGGTCTATCCCTGTGGACCCCGAACTCTCATATCCAACACCCCCACCCCAGAAACCTCACTTAGCTCTGCCCATGCCAGCCTCAGGGACCAGGAACCTGACTCCCACTCCCAACCTTTGCCCTCAGACCCCGGAGTGCAGGCCCCCAGCCCCTCCTCCCTCAGACCCAGGAGTGCAGGCTCCAAGGCTTAGGTTTCCTCACACAGTGTCACCACCAGGCTTTACTTTCCCAACCCCCTGCTCTGGGTGCCTGCATCCGTCATCTCCTGTGACCAGGCAGCAGGTGGGGCCCCAGGTTCCCAGCTCCCCCAGCCCCAGCATCCCTGCAGGGTCCCAGCATCCCCTCCCGGAGACCAGGTGTGGCCCACCCGGGGCTGGGAGCGGGTGGGCGGGGCGGCGTGTGAGTGTGTGGGTGGGGCTGGGGCCACAGTATCGGCCCCGGGGCGGTTCCTCGGCGGGATGGAGTAATCAGGGTGGAGAGCAGAGAAGGAGGTTTCTACTGTATGCACACCCCAAGATGGACCCGCTGATTAGAGGGGAAGGCTGGGGGGAGGGAGTCATGCTGGCTCGGAGGTGTCAGCTGCCCTCCTCCCACCCCACCCAGGGTGTCTTCTTCTCCTTCTCAAAGGGGCCCTCGCAGCCTTGGAGACACTGGCACCTCCACCCATGACCCATCCTTTTCCTGGGTCTGGATGTCTCAGTGTCCCAGTTTCATCTCTTTCGGGGTCACCGGAATCCTGGCCCCCAGCCCCTCCTCCCTCAGACCCAGGAGTCCAGGCCCCCAGCCCCTCCTCCTTCAGACCCAGGAGTCTAGGCCCAGGCTCCAGCACTGTCCCCCCTCTCCACCCCATTCCGATTCCTTGTTCTGGGCTCCAGGATTTGGGAGCCCTGCCCCCAGTCTCTGCCCTCTCGGGAACCCTGCCTCTAAGCAGCCAGAGTTGGCCCGTCCTCAGCGCTCCCAGAATTCCTGGCAATTACTAGCTTTTAATGGAAAGGTCAGGCTCTGGAGGTGACAATGGCCCCAATTCTGTGGAAATATGACCTCGTGACCCAGTGACCTCCCTTTGCCCATGTCTAAGTTCCAGCAGGGAAGTAGCACATCATGGGGCTTCCCAGGTGGGAGCCTAGAGACAGGCCAAGGAATTGATCTGGGGGCCAAGGCAGAGGCGTGTGCTTCAGGGCTCCCCATCTCTGCTCTCTGCCCTCAGTCCAGGAGACAGCATCTTGCTCCCCTTTCACAGTCCGTGAGATTTGAGGTGGAAGTGGGACCCGCTGGTGGTCAGCAGTGCATAAAGGTGGTGGGTGGTCATCAGCCCAGCCCAGCCCTGTCTGGCTCTGGTCCCTGCTACCCTCAAGCCCCCAGGACCCAGGAATGCCCCCC